AGGAACTGGACATCATATGTTACAGAAAATAAGCCAGGCACAGAAAGACATTCCTCACATGTTCTCACTTATTTGTGAGAGCTAAAAATGAAAACAATATAACTCAGAGAGAGAGAGTAGAAGGATGGCTACTAGAGGCTGGGAAGGGTAGTGAGGGGGTGTGTGTGGGGAAGTGAAGAGTGTTAATGGGTACAAAAAATAGCTAGGAAGGATGAATAACACCTAGTATTTACTAGCACAATAAGGTGACTGCAGTGAAAAATAATTTAATTGTACATTTAAAAATAACTAAAACAGTTTAATTGAATTGTTTGTAAACCAAAAGATAAATGCTTGAGGGGATGGATACCCCATTTACCTGATGTGATTATTACATGTTGTATGCCTGTATCAAAATATTCCGTGTAATCCATAAATATATATCATAAATATATATACCTACTGTGTACTCACAAAAATTAAAAATTAAAGTTAAAAACCAATTAAAATGGGGAAGAGATTTGAGCACGTTAAAAAGGAAGATATACAGATGATAAATAAGGACATGAAAAGATGCCCAATATCATTAGACATGTGGGAAAGGCAAATTAAAACCACAACGAGCTAACATGATAAACACATCAGAATAACTGAAATGAAAAATAATGACCATACCAAGTGTGGACAGGAAAGTGGAGCAAGTGGAACTCTCACATAATGAAGTGAAGTGTAAAATGGTACAACTGCTTTTTAAAATATTTTGTCAAAGTTAAATATGTACCTATTATATGACCCAGCAATTCCAATCTTAAGTCTTTACCCAAGAGAAATGAAAGCATATGGCCATAGAAATATGTAAGTGAATACTTATAACAATATTCACAATAGCCCCAAACTGGAAACAACCCAAATATCTTTCAATGGGTGAATGAATAAACACATTATGGTATATCCATACAATGGAATGCTTCAGTAATAAAAAGGAATGAGATATTGAAACACACAACAACATGGGTGCATCTTAAAATAATTATGCTGAGTGAAAGACAGCAGGCACAAAAGCATGCATACCATATAATTTTATCTACAGAAAATTCTAGAAAATGTAAGGCTAACAGAAAGCAGATCAATGGTTGGCTGTGGTGGAGAGAGGTAAAGGGTAGGGTAGGGAAGACTGACTGCAAAGAGACACAAGGGAACCTTCTGAGGTGATGGTTATATGTGCATATACATTTGTCAAGTTATTGAACTGTACACTTAATGCATGCATTTTATTTTATATAAATTTTACCTTGATAAAATATATGAATATAGAGAAATTCAAAAAGAAGAACAAAAAACACCCCCAAATAAATGATATTATGCAGAGGTTGCAGACATTGCAATGACAAAGGTAAGGATATGACTATGGGAAGAAGCACCTGAGAGATGATAAGGACTAAGATCCCTGGAGGAGGGAAAGTCAGGGATCTGAGGGGCTAGAGTGTTGGAAAAATCATCTGTGTAGATATTAAAATCACCAAGAATTATGATAAGAAAGACTAGAGAGAGTAGCCTATACAAGGAAATAAAAGGTACTTAATCTTACGGCTGCTCTGATCTATTATGCATAGCATTATTAAGGTCCAGAAACACTGGACAAAATTTCAATTTTTTGACAAAATTTTCTTTCCGTGATAGTGGATGTGACAAAGAAAATGATATTGTTGATCTTTGTGATGGCGGGGTGTGAAGAGGTATGGGAAGAGACAACCAACCTTAGCAGCTACATTTGTTTTGTAATGGAAGTCAGACTAAGGATCCAATCAAAACTAGGTTTAGTGAGGGGAAACATGATTAAGGGTGGGAGGCAGGAAGAAGAATGGAGTCTGATAATAGGCACAGCAGGAAGGGTGGATTGCCTTTGGCAAAAGGAGAATAAAACACTGAGGTGTGGGGGAAATGCAGTAAACTTTTACAGGAAAACAGAAGATTTTTTTTTTTTCTGTTATGCTGATTTAAAGTGCCATCACATAAAATTTTACGATATAAATTCACTAGCCTGATTGATGAATTACCTACCTCTTAATTATCTTCAGCTGGCTTGCGGCCATTCACCAAAACAATTTTTTTTCTCTTTGTGTTTGTGATCTAAGTTTTTAAACATGAAAAATAATAATGGCAACGATAGTTAACATTTATATAGTATTTACTACCTTGCCAACTACTGTGCTTTATATACTTGTTTTATTTAATGCTTACAAATAGGATGATGCTATGAGGTAGGCTCTGTTATTACGCTTGTTTTACAGGTGAGAAAACTGAGGCTCAGGCTGATTTGCTCAAGTACAGTCGGCTAATCAAGAGTTGATGACATACATTCTCTTCTCACTTAGCAAATTCAGGACTAGGACTATATCCTCCATACACCATACTCTTAAACACTGCCTTCTGTCATTTAATAGTTTTGTCGAGTTTTTATATTAATCAGTCTTTATGAGTATTTATAATAGCTATAAGATACTTTGAAATGGTCCGAACACTCAGAGAAGAGTATCATCTCTTCCCTCTTTCTCCCACACATTAAAAAAGTTTTTGACAAAATTATTACATTCAGAATTTTGGTCCAAATATTAGATTCCATAATTTTATGTACAAATATACTAAAACTTAATTTTAGAGTCTTTGGTACAGAATGCAAACATTCCATATAACAACAAACAACAAACCATTAAGATTATTTCATCCCTGCACTTAGAGAAAATAAAATGTGTGTTATCAAATCCTTTGTTCTTAGTTATTAGATAGAAACCTTGCTCAAATCATTCAGAGCTAAAAGACAATGTTTTTTATTGACTACACAGAACACACAGATATTGTGGTTAAATTCTTAATTGTGACAGGAGAATGCTTAATCTCTTGTAGTAATGCCTTTTAAAAATTACTCATTAGCACTTTTAGTCATTCTCAACCCCTATTTCCCCTCCCAATATCTTCCATGAAACTTCTAGAGACCTGTGGAACACAGCTTAAAATAAAACAAAAACCTGGACCAGATGATATTTGAGGTTCTTCCAGAAAATCTGTAGTTTGTATCAATGTCATCAGATAAGCTTACATATATCTAGAGCACTCCACCTGATAAAATTCTGGAATAGTTTACTAAAAAGTTCACACAACTGAAAACAATTGAATAATATTAGACATAGTTATTTTAAAGTATTGGAATTCTAACTCTGCCACTAACTAGCTATGTGACCTTGGGCAAAGTTACTTAGCTGCTCTTTGCTTTAATTTCTGTATTCATAAAAGAGGGTTAATAATAAACCACTTAGCACAGTGCCTACCATATAGTAAGTACTCAATAAATTATTGGTTACTTCGAAAGTTATTATTTAATTCAACATTTTCTCATCCATGTGTGACTTGCTAAAGTTTCCTGTCCAGATTGCCACCCAAATATAAAAAGTCTATGAAGATAAACACACACATCAAAGCCAACAATTGATTTAAGGAGTCTAATTGAGTTGAATGAACAGTTCGTACAAAGGGAACACTTTAGTTACCCAGTGAAGAGACATTACTTCTGATTTGGAATTGGTAAATGTAAAAAGCTAGCTAGGAAATTACAGCTCATTTATATCCCATCTGAGCAGTTATATGTTTTGCTACAACCCACAGATAGGAGAAGTTGCTCTTATGCCCGATAGTTTAGCAAACACTTAATCGCGTTACCTAGCACTGAAGGAATTCAAGGGTCTTTCTCTCACAATTTTGAAAAGACAGGTTGGTGATGTCCTTGGTGTATATATGTGACAAACTGTTAAATAATCTAAATGACCGTAAACACATACTTTTGCCAATAGGTATTTAACTTAACATTTGGTGAGTATATCTCATTTTACGTCTTTGTAAGCCATCAGGAAGTTGTATAGTTTTAGAGGCAAGTTACTTAAACTTTATTGCCTTAGTTTACCTATCTAGAAATGATGAGAACAACATTATAATATTGTAATAACTAAAAGTTGTAATGAAGTAGTAATAACTACTACTATCACTACTACTACTGATGATGCTAGTAATATATAAGCATCGTTAATAACAACCTATCTCCTAACTTGTTAGGACTAAATTAGGTAACATATGTAAAGTGTTTAGAAAAGAGCCAGGCACAATATGAGTTTGTTATTGTTCTTATTATCCTGAATATTTCCAATAGTCAATGAAAATAAAGGGAAAAGCTAAACAGTTAATGCAAGCAAGGATTTAGTAACTATTTAATTTTTACTGGGAATAACCCATATAAGTTTTTCTTCCTTGATGAGCTAATTTGGAAACACATGTTCCTTTCTCTTGATTTAGGGGTTTTCCAAAGTGCTTTTCTGAAAAGTTAAGACATGTTAAAAAAAAACAAAAAACTCTGTGGCAGACCAAAAAGAAGAAGCAGAGCATTCTAAAATGTCCCCCTCCTCACATAACAAGCACATAGACTCCTGTTTTTTTTCTCCCACAGTGTCCATGTGACCCTGCTGTGATGTTTGTCCATTGTAGAAGTTTAGAAAGTTCTGTCTGGGCTATGTGTGGGAATGGAGTTCTCAGGTCATTCTCCACCCTCCCCTCCACCCAGTCAGGCCTTTCAAAACCTATCTCATAAAACACAGATTCTGAGACTTGGAAAGCCCTTAAGGATCATCTTGTCATGCTCCTTCATTGTATAGATGGAGAAACAAAGGTCTGGAGAGAGGGAGGGATTTTTCTAAGGTTATATAGGAAGCCATTGCGAATATAAGTTAGTTGCTCACTACAAACCAGTCTAGTGCTTTTCCACCATATCACCTTGCTTTTTCAGAAGAGTTCTCTTTTCCTGTTGTCATCTAAGAACAGTCACATACCCGGGCATTTTTCTAGAACTCAGAGTAGGAAAATAATCACAACATTTTTTCCTATCTCTAGCCCAAATGTGGAGAATTTTTAAAAACATTGGACTTCAGTGTCAAAAACTAATATATTCTACATGCAGTTATTATAGCTGGAAAACTTACCTTTACAAAAAGCTCAATCTCAGGGTCCACTTGAGTGCTGGGCCTCAGGCCTGACATCTTTGTCTTTACTGCCAGTTGTCAGCCTCCTGCCTCCTGTAGAGTCCACAATACTTGTAGACTCTTTTCTCAATTTTATCCAAAGACTCAAGTAATGTTGGTGCTTTAAGAAGAGAGTCTAGTTTGTAGTGGACTGAGTCAGACCTGGAGCCAGTCTCTTCTCTCAAGAGGTGTGACGCAGAAAATTCTAGATGCTTAAGTGCAGCTCTTGAATTCGTTTTCCTTCTTCCTCCTGACCTAACATTTAAATCAAGGAGGAGCCAAAGGACTGTGTATAAACTGGCTGACTAGAAGGGTGGGGGTGTTTCCAGAGAGGCTTCAATGCCATGAGTCAGCATAGGAGAAACACATGCACACAAACACACACATGCAGTGCTAGCTTCTATATATCAAGCAGACCAGATGTTCTCTAGAGCCTCCCTTTGAGTCCTGGGCTCCATGCCCAGAAAAGGGCCTCTTATTGGTGTTCCTGTAACTTGAAAGCATTTCCAGGAAAAGGGCCAGAAATGACTTGGATTTTTATTATTGAAAAGGATGTTTATCCAATGATACTGTCTAAAAGAGGGTTAAAAAAATTGTACTTTATTAAATGTTTCCACCCCCAATTCTACTGCTCACACAGCCAGATTTCTGTTCTGGGTTGCAAATTTCACTTCTCTCTACAACCAGGGAATATTCACTGGGGTGGTTGAGTCTGGGGGCTTGTTTAGTGTGCCCCACCTAGTTCTTTATTTCTTGGAAGCTTGGACTGGAACAGATCACTTCCTTGTTCTGGCGTCTGTTTCAGGAACCACCATTTGTTCTGTATTTCTGCTTGTCAACCCTGGGAACAGCAGCAAAACCAGTCAAATGGATCACTCTGTGTCTGCAATGTTTCTGACAGCTGTATCTGATGCCTCCAGGGTCTGGGAGTAGGACCCTGGGATCAACAAACTTCTTTGTTGGGAAGAGTCTCTTCCTGCTTGGAGCAAAACAGAACGCAGATCCATCAGTTGGGCACCACTGTGATCCCCTTTCTATAACACTAAGCATCCCCCATGCTCATATGGGCTGTACATGCACCTGCCATTGCCCTGTGTAAAGATTTACAGGATAAGAAACCCTTGAAAGAACTCAGCCTGCTCCATACCTGTAGGTTCTAGGGAAGGAGTGACTGATACGTAGGTGAGTGTTCTTCTGGATGAGAGAAAGACCTCATGATTCCCCAAATGGTTTGCAAAGTGAGAAGAAAATTGTGCTGGACATCTACTGAGCCAACCTTAAGGGTGAGTTTTCTACTGGCTACTTGGCAGGACCTGATGTCTGCCTCGTTTAGCCATATTTTTACTCTATTCATCATACTCTGTTCGTTCACTCCAAAGGCAATCAATGAATGTCAACTCTGTGCCAGGATGCTGATCCATTCACTGAGATTGGCAGCACGGGAGGACAGCCAGTTCGGGAGGACAACAGGAATTCAACTTTAAGCATACTCAGTCTGAGGCCTCCTCACCTTTCCCCACTCCCTATATCTAACCACTACAAAATCTTGTCACTTCTACATCTTGAATATTTAAAAAATCCATCCACTTCTCTTGCCCCTATGGCCACTCCAGATTTCAAGCCAGCAACATTCTTTTTTAATTGATTTTAAAATTTTTATTTTAAAAGACCAAATGGTTGCTTGACCTTCGACTCTCATGAGAAAACCACAACCCTTACTGTCACCACCACCACAGCAACAACAACAAACAGCCTAATGACCTCTGTGTGATCCCTAATAAATTGGCAAAGTAAAGAGATGAATGTTCTCTTTTTTTTCTTGATGCTGAATGTGTTTAAAAACATGTTTAGGATAATTAACGTGCCCTAAAATTCATGTATTTAAAGTGATTTTATAAATTTATTGGGTGGTGCAACCATCACTACAATCTAATTTTAGAACATTTGCATCACGTCAGTGACCTCTTCCTTGCCCATTTGCAGTCAGTCTTCATTGCCACTCCCAGCATCAGACAACCAGTAATCTACATTCTGTGCCTATGGATTTGCCTATTCTAGATATTTCATATAAATGTTGTGTTAGTCCATTTTTGCTTTGTTATAAAGAAATACTTGAGGCTGAGTAATTTATAGAGAAAAGAGGTTTAATTGGCTCATGATTCCGCAGGCTGTACAGAAAGCATGGTGCCAGCATCTGCTTCAGGTGAGAGCCTCAGGATGCTTCCAATCATGGCAGAAGGTAGAGTGGGAGCATGCATCTCACATGATGAAAGTGGGAGGAAGAGAGAAAGTGGTGGGGGGACATGCCACAATCTTTTAAACAACCAGCTCTTGCATGAATTCAGAGGGAGAACTCACT